GAATCCAATAGAAAAATAGTTTAAGGATATATCCCCAACAAATAGCAAATAAATATTTGAAATAAATGAACAACCTTGCTTATAACAATTACAATTTTAATTAAAACAACAATGTGTCATTTAAAATATTGAACTGGAAAAGATTTGAAAGATTGATAAGACCTGTATTAATAGGAGTGTTCAGAATGAGAAATCCTTATATAACATTTTAGAAAGATAATTTGGCAATCTCTAAAAATTTAAAGTGCACAAAAGTTTCACCCCATACTTCTAGTGATAAGAATAATCTTCTAAATAGTTATGGTAAGGATGTTTACTGGAAAATTGTTGCAGTAATGAAAACTTGTAAATGATCTATCTTTCTGTCAGCAGGGTACTGGCTAAACAATATGATACAATATGATAAAACAGAATATTACTGAATTATTAAAATAAGTGAGGTAGGGCCGGCCCGGTGGCGCACTGGATAAGTGCGCCGCTTGGGAAGCGCGGCGGTGCTCCCGCCCGAGGGTTCGGATCCCACATACAGACCGGTTCCCGCTCACTGGCTGAGCGAGGCACGGGGGCAACACCGAGGGTTGCAATCCCGTTGCCAGCAGGGTACTGGCTAAACAATATGATACAATATGATAAAACAGAATATTACTGAATTATTAAAATAAGTGAGGTATGTATGTATATATGCATCTCTTATCAAATGCCCAAAGAAAATTGAAGAACAATATAAATAATATGATTCCTTTTATGTTAAAAACAAAAAAAGAATACATCAAACTTAATATAGTAAAATTAATGGTGTTACTTCTCTTGATGGGAATTATACATACCATGGGTAAATCATAGGAGAGATAATAATCTTGTAATCCTCTGTACTGTTAAAAGTTTTTTCCAACAAATGTCTTTTTTTATGATTTAAACATGCATTAAATTTTTATTTTGTAAGGCCTAGTCTCGATGACATTAACTTCATGAAGTCTTCCATGAATATTCCAGACAGAGGGAATTCCTCTCTCCTCTAAATTTTCCGGTAAATATTTCTATTTCTCACATTATACTGAGCTTTTGTTTGTTTAGCTTGTCTTAGATCACCTACCATCGTGAAGATCATTGGTAATAGGGCGCAGGTCTCATAGATCTTTATATCTCTTTCAGTCAATATGTACATATACGTATACATCTGTCTGTCTCTGTCTATCCATCCATCAGTCTCCATATCCATACCTATATCTCTCTTTTCACACAACACTAATTGAATTGCATCAAAATTCCTTTGCCTTTGATTCAATGTTCCCCTCTTCTTAGTTTACCAATCAGCTTAATTATTCATTCTAGAAAATTATTATTTTCAGTTCCCTGCTTGGAATACCCTTCCAAATCATCAGCCTTCAAAACCATCTCAGATTTTATTCTTTCAAATCTTACTGAATACTCAGAAGGAAGTTTCATTTTTTTTTCTATTTTTACAGTATTTACAGGGTGTGTATGTACATTTTTGTCTTTCGGTGCCCATTGACCAAGTACTTTTATTTATTTAAAGAGAAAGCTCATGAGGATCACAAACCCCACACAATTTTGTCTCTATTAAAATGGAAGCTCCCAGTGGGAGGAGATCATTTCATTATACGTTTTGTAACATCCTGAGATAAAGTGTTTGATGAACTTTATACATGAAAGTGATGAGATTTTTGCCATTTACAAAGTTAGAGACATAAGACAAAGGGGGAATATTGAAGAATCATTATTATACAAACCAAATTCATGGTGAGGAGAAAGAAAATGCCCAAGACAGCCTTGCCTACACCTGCCAATAAACAGGTTGCAAAACACTAACTTAAACATTGTTCCTATTCTTTACCAAAAAACTTTGTAGAAAATCTTTTTTTTGTGGCATATGTAGTCAATGAAGCAGTCTAAATTAACAGGTAAACTAAGTAGACACAATCACATTAAGAGTTTGTTCTTACTAGGTTATTTTGTTTTGTTTTTGAGTCATAGACATCTTATCTCTTTATCAGGGAAGACACATTTTAATAGGAGGATATCTAGAGGCAATATCTATACAACAGAAGAGAATTCTACACAATGGAACATCTATACAATAGAATAGAGGGGAAAATGATTTGGGGGGTT